AATTCGATTTTTCCCTCCAGATTGTAAGCGTGAGTGCGAGAGTGACGTTGCGAAAGGAAGCTGTACAGCGATGACTGGGGCAAAACAGAATTTTAGCACGATATGATTTACTTTCCGGCCAAATTTTGAGAAAATCTTCGAAAATCTCGCTTTCGGGAGCTTTTGCTCTGGGTGAATTCGATTTTTCTCTCCAGATTGTAAGCGTTAGTGCGAGAGTGACGTTGCGAAAGGAAACCGTACAGCGAAGACTGGGGGAAAACAAAATTTTAGCACGATATGATCCACTTTCCGGCCAAATTTTGAGAAAATCTTTGAAAATCTCGCTTTCGGGAGCTTTTGCTCTGGGTGAATTCGATTTTTCTCTCCAGATTGTAAGCGTTAGTGCGAGAGTGACGTTGCGAAATTAAACCGTACAGCGATGACTGGGGCAAAACAAAATTTTAGCACGATATGATCCACTTTCCGGCCAAATTTTGAGAAAATCTTCGAAAATCTCGCTTTTGGGAGCTTTTGCTCTGGGTGAATTCGAGTTTTCCCTCCAGATTGTAAGCGTGAGTGCGAGCGTGACGTTGCGAAAGGAAGCTGTACAGCGATGACTGGGGCAAAACAAAATTTTAGCACGATATGATCCACTTTTCCGGCCAAATTTTGAGTAATTTTTCGAAGATCTCACTTTTGGGAGCTTTTGCTCTGGGTGAATTCGATTTTTCCCTCCAGATTGTAAGCGTGAGTGCGAGAGTGACGTTGCGAAAGGAAGCTGTACAGCGATGACTGGGGCAAAGCAGAATTTTAGCACGATATGATCCACTTTCCGGCCAAATTTTGAGAAAATCTTCGAAAATCTCGCTTTTGGGAGCTTTTGCTCTGGGTGAATTCGAGTTTTCCCTCCAGATTGTAAGCGTGAGTGCGAGCGTGACGTTGCGAAAGGAAGCTGTACAGCGATGACTGGGGCAAACAAAATTTTAGCACGATATGATCCACTTTTCCGGCCAAATTTTGAGTAATTTTTCGAAGATCTCACTTTTGGGAGCTTTTGCTCTGGGTGAATTCGATTTTTCCCTCCAGATTGTAAGCGTGAGTGCGAGAGTGACGTTGCGAAAGGAAGCTGTACAGCGATGACTGGGGCAAAACAAAATTTTAGCACGATATGATCCACTTTTCCGGCCAAATTTTGAGTAATTTTTCGAAGATCTCACTTTTGGGAGCTTTTGCTCTGGGTGAATTCGATTTTTCCCTCCAGATTGTAAGCGTGAGTGCGAGAGTGACGTTGCGAAAGGAAGCTGTACAGCGATGACTGGGGCAAAACAAAATTTTAGCACGATATGATCCACTTTTCCGGCCAAATTTTGAGAAATTTTTCGAAGATCTCACTTTTGGGAGCTTTTGCTCTGGGTGAATTCGATTTTTCCCTCCAGATTGTAAGCGTGAGTGCGAGAGTGACGTTGCGAAAGGAAGCTGTACAGCGATGACTGGGGCAAAGCAGAATTTTAGCACGATATGATCCACTTTCCGGCCAAATTTTGAGAAAATCTTCGAAAATCTTGCTTTTGGGAGCTTTTGCTTTGGGTGAATTCTATTTTTCTCTCCAGATTGTAAGCGTGAGTGCGAAGGTGACGTTGCGAAAGGAAACTGTACAGCGATGACTGGGGCAAAACAAAATTTTAGCACGATATGATCCACTTTTCCGGCCAAATTTTGAGTAATTTTTCGAAGATCTCACTTTTGGGAGCTTTTGCTCTGGGTGAATTCGATTTTTCCCTCCAGATTGTAAGCGTGAGGGCGAGAGTGACGTTGCGAAAGGAAGCTGTACAGCGATGACTGGGGCAAAACAAAATTTTAGCACGATATGATCCACTTCTCCGGCCAAATTTTGAGAAATTTTTCGAAGATCTCACTTTTGGGAGCGTTTGCTCTGGGTGAATTCGATTTTTCCCTCCAGATTGTAAGCGTGAGTGCGAGAGTGACGTTGCGAAAGGAAGCTGTACAGCGATGACTGGGGCAAAGCAGAATTTTAGCACGATATGATCCACTTTCCGGCCAAATTTTGAGAAAATCTTCGAAAATCTCGCTTTTGGGAGCTTTTGCTCTGGGTGAATTCGAGTTTTCCCTCCAGTTTATAAGCGTGAGTGCGAGCGTGACGTTGCGAAAGGAAGCTGTACAGCGATGACTGGGGCAAAACAAAATTTTAGCACGATATGATCCACTTTTCCGGCCAAATTTTGAGTAATTTTTCGAAGATCTCACTTTTGGGAGCTTTTGCTCTGGGTGAATTCGATTTTTCCCTCCAGATTGTAAGCGTGAGTGCGAGAGTGACGTTGCGAAAGGAAGCTGTACAGCGATGACTGGGGCAAAACAAAATTTTAGCACGATATGATCCACTTTTCCGGCCAAATTTTGAGAAATTTTTCGAAGATCTCACTTTTGGGAGCTTTTGCTCTGGGTGAATTCGATTTTTCCCTCCAGATTGTAAGCGTGAGTGCGAGAGTGACGTTGCGAAAGGAAGCTGTACAGCGATGACTGGGGCAAAGCAGAATTTTAGCACGATATGATCCACTTTCCGGCCAAATTTTGAGAAAATCTTCGAAAATCTTGCTTTTGGGAGCTTTTGCTTTGGGTGAATTCTATTTTTCTCTCCAGATTGTAAGCGTGAGTGCGAAGGTGACGTTGCGAAAGGAAACTGTACAGCGATGACTGGGGCAAAACAAAATTTTAACACGATATGATCCACTTTTCCGGCCAAATTTTGAGTAATTTTTCGAAGATCTCACTTTTGGGAGCTTTTGCTCTGGGTGAATTCGATTTTTCCCTCCAGATTGTAAGCGTGAGTGCGAGAGTGACGTTGCGAAAGGAAGCTGTACAGCGATGACTGGGGCAAAACAAAATTTTAGCACGATATGATCCACTTTTCCGGCCAAATTTTGAGTAATTTTTCGAAGATCTCACTTTTGGGAGCTTTTGCTCTGGATGAATTCGATTTTTCCCTCCAGATTGTAAGCGTGAGTGCGAGAGTGACGTTGCGAAAGGAAGCTGTACAGCGATGACTGGGGCAAAACAAAATTTTAGCACGATATGATCCACTTTTCCGGCCAAATTTTGAGAAATTTTTCGAAGATCTCACTTTTGGGAGCTTTTGCTCTGGGTGAATTCGATTTTTCCCTCCAGGGCCGGTATGTATCAATCTCCCGAACCGCACCCGGGCGCTTCTTAACCATTGGAAATGAACGCCCTGGCGGGAACGGGCGCCCGACCCATGATGTATGAAACTCGCGGGCGCCCAGCCCCGACGGGCAGGAAAGCCCGATCTCGCGGGATCGGGCACTCGCGACGGGAGATGCAACTCATCGCGTTTTTTTTGCTGGAATTGGTGAGTTTTTCATTTTCTTTACTTTGTTAGGCCCTCCCTCCTTACTGAAGAGTTCCGGGGAGGGCTTATTTGTTGATTTTTTTGTATTTGTGCTCCGTCTAAGGGAAGGAACGAAACGGAACTCGTTTTCTTTATCTTTTTTGTTCAATTTGAATTTCTATCTTAGTATTTTGGTTTTGCAAGTAACTATAATGTGCATGATTATGGTTTGCATGCAGTTTAACTACATTATTCAATGTGCCTGCTTTTTCCCCCACATAAGTTCCCAAGAAAGAATTTGGACGTCTGGCGCAATAAGTTTGGGAACATTGTGGATCTTTTGCAATTTCTGAGTTTCTTTCCTCGTTTAGGATTTTTCCTTTGCAAAGTTTTGAGAATGCTTTTGGTTGTAGGTGCCAAAATGCTGCTGTTTGGAGAAGGAACACCGCTTGAGCAGAACGCACAAGCAAGTTTCGGCTTTCGCTGCAAGCACTTTGTACATACGTGAGTTCTATTTCTCTCAGATATGTCTTTACTTCATTCTCATCTATTCGTTTGGAGAAAAACTTGCTTGAAATTCTAATAGATTAGTGTTAGTGGAAAAATCAAGGAGGAAAGTGATTTAGACGTTGCGGAATGCGCGTCGGCCGTGATTACTCACGGCACACCCAAAATAATATATTTTACGCCTAATCCTGTTATCTCGCATTTTGCGCACATTCGCCTGTTTTGCCCTTTTATGCGCTGTTGGTGAGTTCTTTAACTTTTTCGGTTTTGCTTTCGTTTCTTCATGCATGATGAGCAAGCCAGACAGAATCCTGTCTGGTTTTTGCTCTTTTTTACCATTTGGCCGCAGGCTGTGCCTGCTTTTTCACCAAAATGAGATTTTATGATTTTGTTTGATTATTGATTTTTTGGTTGATACCTCCTTGCTTTTGTGTGATGTCACATTCTCATAGAAATGTGCCTCACACACATTGTAGAGGAGGATCATTCTTCAACACATTGATGATGTATCTGTTTGTAATTTTTCAAACATACTTTTTGCATGCAGGAATGAGCAAGGGCATCTCGACACAAAGTCTGTGCTGCCCCTTCATGCGCTGTTGGTGAGTTGTTTAACTTTTTCGGTTTTGCTTTCGTTTCTTCATGCATGATAATCAAACCAGACAGAATCCTGTCTGGTTTTTGCTCTTTTTTCATCATTTAGCCGCAGGCTGTGCCTGCTCTTTCACCAAAATGAGATTTTATGATTTCGCTTGTTGATTTTTTGATTGATACCCCTTTGCTTTTGTGTGATGTCACATTCTCATAGAAATGTGTCTCACACACATTGTAGAGGAGGATCATTCTTCTTCAACACATTGAAATTACACATGTTTACACTGAGTTAGCTAAAATTTACTTGTGCTTCAGTCTTGACCTTACACATATCTTTCGTAAGTAAAGGTCAAGATTTCGTAAGCTATCCCGTCTTTGCTCTGTTAGAACTCTGAATTCTACTCTTGCCTGGTAATTTTCATCCCTCGTCTCTTGGAACTCTTGAAGCAGTGTCAATTTTTGGAGGATTTAGTCGACGAAGTTGCGCAATAAAGTGGGACTTTCTTTGTTTCTTCTCCTTCATTCATTATTCAGTTGTTATTCAGCATTTAGTAAGATGGAAGAACTGGGCTCGTCTACTTCTGGCGAAGTGGAAAGCATGGAAGAGCTGTATTCTACTAGCTCGGAAGAGGAAGAAGTGGAGGCGACTGGCGCAGGAGGGATGAGGGAATCCGAAGAAAGACAAGGGGAACTCGTGCAAGAAGAGGGAGAAGGAGCTGTGGTGGCGGAAGGGCGCAGAAAAGCCAGGGTATTTGCTGAAAGAGCGTTCCCCTTCGAGGTCTCAGATGACGTCGCCTTCAAGAAGGACTACCGTTTCAGCAAACGGGTCTTTTATGAAATCTGCGACTTAGTGAAGGACAAGCTTCAGCGCTCAACCGAGCGATCAAAGCCGTTGTCGATTCCTCAGCAAGTTGCCATCTGCCTCAATCTGCTGGGACGGAACACGAAGCAGAGAGATTCGGCAAGAATGGCGGGGTGTGATCAAGCAACGGTCAGCCGAGTCCTTGCGAACTTCGTCGAGGCCCTATGTTCCTGCGCTCAAAATTACATCTTTTGGCCCGGAGAGGAGGAGAGAAGAAGAATAAGTGGGGACATTTTTGATGCCTACAAACTCCCAAATATCGTGGGCTTTATCGACGGCTCCCACGTGCGCATAGCCACACCACACGAGAACGAAGGCGACTACGTAAACCGAAAGCAGTTTCATTCTATAAATGTCGGTCTCATCTGCGACGATAAGCTGAGGTTTCGCTGGGTTAGCGCATCGTTTCCTGGGTCCGCTCACGACAGCCGTGTATTCAAGGAATCACAACTGTATCGGGATATGAAAAACGGTAGGAAACCCGGATGTTTGGTGGGCGACTCCGCATATATGGCCGAAAATTTCTTGATAAAAGTGGTGGAGAACCCAACCACACAGGCAGGTAGGATGTTTACTTTCCCTATTTGAAAACCGAGAACTTTTTTTTCAGAAAATCGCTATAATCGCGCAGTCTGCGCTGCTCGTTCCCACATCGAGCGTGCCATAGGAGTGCTCAAGGCGCAGTTCAAGATTCTGGGCGAGGAGTGCCGGTAGATTTTTCAGTGGTTCGAATCACAACAAAAGAAAACTCTTTCTTGCAGATACAAACCGGAACTTGCAACTAAGATAATCGTTGCATGCGTCGTTTTGCGAAATATTGCCATCGGCGGGAATGAGTCCATAGACGAATTCGAGGTGGAGGCCGAAGAGACGACTGGAGACGATCCTGATAGTTCCACTGAACCGACGTCTTTGACGGGAAGAGCGCATATTCGAAGAATAATAAGTGATTACTTCATGTGAAATTGTCATTCATCATTATCTTTATCTTTATCATTTACTACCTCCGTCTTTACTTAAGCTGTTTCGCCTTGTAGTCAAATAATAACCTTGACATGACAGCTTCATTTTTATTCAGTGTTATTACCCACAATAAATTGCAGAGGCATGCGAAATACTCGTACATAGAAAAACTTCAATGACTTCATTATTTTCAATAAACTCGTGCAAGTACGGATTCAATTCTCATAAAATTCCAATACAACTTGAATACTTCCAATACAGCTGCTTACTTAAGTGGTTATGATGACACCTTGATCCAGATAGTCGCCTCGCTTCTGCTCGTTGCTTATTTCCAACTTCAGCTTCTCATTCTTAAGACGCAAATTCTCATTTTGGAGCTTTGCGTTCTCAATTTGTAGATACAAGAGGTCGCCGGTCAGCTGTTCGTTCCTGATTCTCAACTGAATGCGTTCCGATTCAAATTCGCTGGCTCTTCCTGATTTCTTTTTTTCACTAAAACAGCTGACTGATTGAAAGTTTATCCAGCAAACCTTGCCTACCGTGGTCTATTCTCTTTCTCAGCGTCGTTATGCAGTTCTACCGGCATTGGCTCGCTAAACGAAAATGAGTTCATTAGGAAATAGCGCACTTTGACCAAACTTGAGAACTTACTAATGTTCATAATCGTCAAAATTTGGATGCTCGAAGATTGGCTCAGTTTTTACTTTCTTTCCTCCGTTTCTCTCGGTTTTCTCGAGCGTGTTTCTGGAAAACAAAGTAAGCAAATTGAAAGTCCTTCGAAACACTCACTTGTTGGCGGGGTATACTTCGTTTTCCGTGTCAGTCAAGCTTAATTGCGACTCGTTGTCCCATTGAGGAGGTGGCTTTGATGATGAAGGCTGAGAAACAAGTTTAAGTATAGCATGAAGTAAGTATAAAATAGGTGATCTGTTAACTTTGTTCAATAGAGGGGCAGGCTGGTTAACTTCGTCATCCGTCTGAGCAGGTCGTTTCGACGAGGAAGGTTGCTGAAGAGGCATCAGTAAGTATATGAATGAATATGCCAATTGTCTTACAGTTAAAGCATGGTCGCCAGAAACTTCGATCGCGCATGGAAGCCCTTTCAAACGTGGTTTTTCCCCTATTCTATCCAATAGAATTGCGACATGTGGAGCAGCTTTCAGTTTGATGGGGACTCCGCCTCCCGTTTTATTGTGTTCGAGCTTCTAAAAGGTTTTGGTACGAAGTGGGAACATTGCTGAGTGTATTACTTACCTCCTGTGCAATCACCTTTTTGGCTCTTTTCATTGAATCGCGCATTCGTTGATCTAGTTGCGTGACGGTGCGTTTTGGATAACCAGCGCTCGTCAGTATTCGAGCTAATTCTTCTAACTTGTCTCTTTTCGCCTTAACAAAAAACTTGGAGGGACGAAGGGAACTCAGACTGAAGTGTCTTACCTTCACTGCAGGCTGGCGACTTGAGCCTGCGAACGCCGCATGAAACACATTATAGTTCTCGACGTAAAACTGACTTATGATACACAACTCCTCTTCGGTCATGGTTGGGGCCCGACTCTAGCATCGTTGATATTACAAGGAGCTGGGAAAGACGGCAAAAAACCTACTTTGACCTCAACGACTTCCATCTTCTTCGATTGGTTGCGGCACAAAAACAAACACCCGCCTTCAAAAACCAAATTCGCTGACAAGAACCTAAGCAAAAGCAAGTATGAATAACGGAAACAAGAGAAAAAGCACGATAGTTAACTGCGAGTAACATACGATACCAATACCAAAATGAAAACGAGTAAACGGAGTAGCTCTTAGAATGTGCCAGGAAGCATAGTACATACGCGTCAGCACGCGTGCTGCTGATCCCCAACTAGGCAGTTCGGGCTCTTGCCCGAGTGACATCCCCGTATGATGCATCGCGGGTGCGGGCGCCCGTGCCCACTCGGGTAACGACCCAGACGGGAACCCCTTCCCGAGAGGGAGATTGATACATACCGGCCCAGATTGTAAGCGTGAGTGCGAGAGTGACGTTGCGAAAGGAAGCTGTACAGCGATGACTGGGGCAAAGCAGAATTTTAGCACGATATGATCCACTTTCCGGCCAAATTTTGAGAAAATCTTCGAAAATCTTGCTTTTGGGAGCTTTTGCTTTGGGTGAATTCTATTTTTCTCTCCAGATTGTAAGCGTGAGTGCGAAGGTGACGTTGCGAAAGGAAACTGTACAGCGATGACTGGGGCAAAACAAAATTTTAGCACGATATGACCCACTTTTCCGGCCAAATTTTGAGAAATTTTTCGAAAATCTCGCTTTTGGGAGCTTTTGCTCTGGGTGAATTCGATTTTTCTCTCCAGATTGTAAGCGTGAGTGCGAGGTGACTCGGGCAAAACAAAGGCCCGTAGTGAACCCCCCATCAGGGCATCTCTCTCGAGGCGGACCGGAGTTGATCTTATCTCATCATGGTTTTCTTCCCGTTTGCAATATCAGTGCGGGCAGGTGCGCGTTAAATTGCGGAAGGATTGCTGTTTCTAGCGATCTTAGCTGCATTCAAAAATATGAAAATTGAACGAAGTCATAACCTTCCCAATGAAAATTCGCAAAATGGACACTATTTTTGCAACAATCTAATATACTGATAAATTGAAAATTCACGTGAGAAAATTATTGGTATGAAACACTTTTATATATGGGTGTGCCCTACCCGCTTGCTAGCGACCCGTAGGGTCGCTAGTCTTATATATAAAGCTGAATGTCTGTTTGTATGTCTGTATGTCTGTCTGTGTGTGTGTACGTATGTTCCGAATAGAAAATTCCATTTCTGAACCGATCCGGACCAAACTTGGCACACATACACTTCGGGCCCCGGCGGGTGTCATAGGCTACTTTTCGTCATCGATCGATATCGATTTTATCGATTTATCGATTTTTTTGCAGAGTTCACCTACGGGGCTGCGAGTTGGCACAGGGTGTAATCGAGCATGGGGATTCCGAATACAATATTGGTTTTCAGGATTATCGATTACTTTTATCGATTTTATCGATTTTTTGCAAAGTTTGAGCTAGGGGGCTGAGAGTTGGCACAGGGGGGTAATCGAGCATGCTCGATTACACCCCTGTGCCAAATTCCAGTCCCTTAGCTCAAATTTTCAAAAAATCGATAAAATCGATAAAAGTAATGGACGATCCTGAAAACTAATATTGTGTTCGTAATCAGCATGCTCGATTACCCCCCTGTGCAAAATCCCAGCCTCGCATGTCAAAATTTACAAAAAATCGATAAAATCAATAAAAGTAATCGATAATTCTGAAAACTAATATTGTATTCGGAATCCCCATGCTCACTTCCCCCCCTGTGCCAACTCCTAGCCCTGTAGGTGAACTCTGCAAAAAAAATCGATAAAAATCGGTAAAATCGACATCGATCGATAACGAAAAGTGGACTGTGACACCCGCCGGGGCCCGAAGTGTATGTGTGCCAAGTTTGGTCCGGATACGGCGGAGCCGGGTAAGCCAGCTAGTCATCTGATAAGTAAGATTAATGAAAAAGTAAGAGGCAATTGGGTCGCCTTTTATGGTCGCGTTAGCTATATACAGTAGATAAGGTCAGCGCCGCACTCCGATGGATAATGGTTCCTGAGTATTGTAGTATTAGACATTAGTTGTTGATTTAGTATTTAGTTTCGACTTCGTTTTATGTCCATATTCGAAGTACATGAAACACTGACTTCGAGGGCGGTCGGGCAGGAGGCAGCAAAGGCTTGCCGCTTCTGCTTATGGAAGTACCTGAGGACCTTCAGACTTCCTCGCGCCTCTAATTACATCTTCGCACCTTTAGTCATGTGACATGACCTATGTCCGATTGTTCGTAAACTTTCAAGCATGGCAAATACCAGTATAGGTTTTATGTTTAAAATTCATAGCAAATGTAGAGATTAGCCTAATTCAACTCCAAAGGCGCTATAAAAATATCAGATTTTTGAGTTGGTTTGAACGCATAACTTGATCTATCAAATCTTCAAGTCGGATTCTTGAACTAATTCTTGTAATTCTTTCTCATTTTAGTCATTCCAATTGAAGGCAAGGATTTTGAAGACTGTTAGCATATGCCTTTTGTTTTATGGCAGACTTACTCTTTTCTGCTGCACGGATTTCAAAGAAAATCGCCCTAAACCCGATGTTTCTCTAAGCTGAAACTTATTATGGCTGAGACTGGATAAAATTGCAAGAGTTCCACATTCATCCAGAGTAAATTACTTTTCATGAAGATTTTCGTTTGATCCTCTTGCTTGTAAAGTAATCAAAGGTGCGAAGAGTGATTATAGGCGCGAGGATGTCTGCAGCTCCCCAGCCACCTTCAGAAGCAAAGGCGGCTAGCCCTTGCTGCCTCATGCCTGACGTCCGACTTCGAGAGAAAAAGAATTCTAGCTTTGGTGATAAATGAACGCGACGAGGAAAAATGGTTGCGCATTCCACTCTGACAAGTGCCAAAACTGAGGAACCCCTTTATGATAATACTCATTGACCCCCAAAAGAGTAGCACAAGCCCGGTATAAAACAAACTGCGCAAAAGTAGAACTAACACTGCACAAATGCACACATGAAAATAAACTCATGCTGTAAGATTGGATGCTGCACAAGTATGCTAGAGATGTATTATAAGAACTAGTGTTAGAAGCTTATTCGTTGGCTATGCTACTATAACAGTGAAGGAATAGAAGTATAAAGTGAATTTAGCACGTACTTAGGCATTCTGTGATGTGAGTTTGCACAGGGCACGCATAACTGACGCCTTAAGCCTCCAGGGTTAGTTTAACCCTCAGGGTTGATGAGTACGGCTACAGGTTCGTTGATCGATACGGGTGGATCGCGTTCCGTGGTAAACCCTACCCTATAGTTGATGAATACGGCCAATGAACCCTGAGGGTTAAACTAATCCTGGAGGGTTAGTTTAACCTTCAGGGTTCGTTGATGAACCAAAGGACTCCTTAGACTTCGGCTCCTAATTTGCGATGTACTGGGTACCCTGTATCCTGTTAGAATCAAGAACTATACGACTTACGCAGTAAGAATTCAAAATTAGAAGAAAAATCATGCGTCAACCTAATAAATAAAGATATTGTCCAAACTTTGAGCATAAAGAAAATCATTCAACTATGCATCGACCACAAATGAGTATGCCACCGGCACATTGTTTTCCAAGTTCTATGGAATTACTGCACTTGCCTCGATAGCTACAGAAAGGGCACGAGGATGGCAAATGTCAAGTTGGAAATTGTTTTAGCGGAAAAGAGCAAAGGGATACCGCAATCAGACGTTCTCGCATCCTCTCAATAAGTTAGAAGATGAAATGCATCAACAAAATTCGTAAATGAAGGACAAGGGTTAAGCACAGTGCAGAAAACCGTGAAAGAACTATGCGAGTAGAGGTAGCAAGCTCCTTTTCTGGACACTTCTCTTCAACAAGTGGAAAAATAACTCGTTCGCAATGCACAGGTAAAGATATGGCTTCGAACATGGCGTGTACATGCGTAGTGACTAATAACAGCAAAGTGTGAAGTATATAAGAAAAAAATATGTGAGTGAAGAGCGTGTTGGAATCAAAATAGGATGTATGCAAACTGATAATGCACACCTTTTAACGGCGACGGCCCAGGAGTTCCCAAAGCCTCGCCGCCTTTCCTTGCAGGGGTAGTTAGCACCCCAAGGCGTCCTCGCACTTCTCAGACGGCTCCGCCCATTTGCCCCGCCCACTGGCTAATCTCATTACGAGTTGTGCAGGTTTGGAGGATACTTCTCAAGTGTTCTGGATGAATAATGAAGGATGGAAAATGACAGACGAGAGTTTATGAGATCTACCATTTGGAACATGTTGCTTTTACAATATAAAAACAAATTTAGTACTGAGAGATCTTTTGACCATGATGCGTTGGTGTGAGCATCGCTTTGTCGGAAAATTCCGTTTTTCGACATACAGCCGAGATAAGTGTACGTATACGTTTGGTTGAAACTATGTCTATTGAGCAAGTTGCAGGTGTCCCACATGTTTGACGGACTTTCGACTTATTTCGATCTTTCGGGCAACTTCGTAGAGCTCAAATTTGATGCAAATCAAAATACAGAATCACAGAATCTCTATACACTAAAAAAATGACTATGTCTATCTACTGCACTTATTGAATAGATGCAATAGTTTTCGCGCAAATCAGAGGGAATCCGATAACTCACTAAAATCCAAACCTAAATTCATGACTTGTTCGAAAAGGAGTGAGTTTTGCGCTTCGAGATAGTTACCCCAGTTCAACTTTTTTTGGCTATCCTCACAGAAACAGGCATCCATATTGCACCTCAAAATTCGTAATTTCGAATTTAATATTGGATAGTATCAAAGTGTCAAAACATCCTCTAAAAGTTCTGGGACGTTCATAGCAATGTTCCGTACGTGGCAAGCTTTAACCTATGGTAATGTAGAAACAAAGCTGTGAAGAATATTCTTTTGCAGAAAATTACCTTTTTACCAAAAATATCAGTCAGTGCTTACTTTGAGTATTGTAAGGCCTTCTCGGGTATGTCACAGTGTTTTTACTTATAAAATGCAACGGTAAGGGAATTCACCTTGCATGATTTATTACGAATTTTGCATTTGCACATCTATACTATTCGCGCACCTCGCAGTCTCTGAATGAGACCAATAAAGGAGTAGAGCG